TTTTTTTTTTTTTTTTTTTTTTTTTTTTTTTTGGACACAGGGTTTCTCTGTGCAACATCTCTGGCTGTACTGGAACTCGCTCTGTAGACCAGGCTGGTCTTGAACTCACGGAGATCCACCTGTGTCAGCCTCCCAAGTGCTGGCATTAAAGGTGTTTTCCACCACTGCCCAGTTATGTGGCTTCTATTTGGTTTTTTTGTAGTGTTAAGGATGGGCCCAGGGGCCCTGTGAAGACTAGGCAAGCTCTGCCTCTGAGCCATCTCTATTTCCTATGCTGAGGCTTCTAGTCCCACCCCAGGGAATAGCTTTCTCCCTGGTGCACAGCTGACTTGGGACATTGATTTAATTAAGTGTTACCTGAGCCCAGTTTAATTACAGTCACTGTTTTGGGGTAAAGCCAGTGTCTTTTATGAAGGGGTGCTGGTCTGGGTATGCCCCCACCCCACCCCTGGCCCTCACCCTGTACTGGAGGTACAGTCTGATTTGGGGGGTATTTTCAAGACAAAGTCTCACTTTGTAGCTCTAGCTGTCTGGAATTTACTATGTTGACCAGACTGGCTTTGAACTCAAAGAGTTGCCTGCTTCTGCCTCCCAAGTATTAGGATCAAAGGCTTGCTGAGTGTGGGGCCACCTTTGTGGCCTTTTTTGTTTCACTGTTTCTTTCAGGGGGAAAAAATGGTGTCTTGGGTTGGGTTCTGAAGCAGATGAATGTATAAGTGGAATGTCCTTGAAGCTGCGACAAACACTTGTCCAAATACCACACATCCATATAAGCTAGACTGTACACCTAACCTCCTTGTCTTTTTCCCTCCACTAAAGGGTTAGCCTGTCAGCCACCGACTGCTACATAGTGCATGAAATCTACAGTGGGGAGAATGCCCAGGACCAGTTTGAATATGAGTTGGAGCAGGCGCTGGAAGCCCAGTACAAGTACATTGTGATAGAGCCCACCCGAATTGGAGATGAGACAGCACGTTGGATCACCGTGGGCAATTGCCTGCACAAGACGGCCGTGTTGGCTGGCACTGCCTGTCTCTTCACCCCATTGGCATTGCCCCTGGATTACTCCCACTACATCTCCCTGCCCGCTGGTGTGCTGAGCCTGGCCTGCTGTACCCTCTATGGGATCTCCTGGCAGTTTGACCCTTGCTGCAAGTACCAGGTGGAGTATGATGCCTATAAACTGTCCAGCCTGCCTCTGCACACGCTCACCTCCTCCACACCAGTGGTGCTGGTTCGGAAGGACGACCTGCACAGAAAGAGATTGCACAACACAATAGCACTGGCTGCCCTGGTGTACTGTGTAAAGAAGGTTTATGAGCTCTACGCTGTATGACTGCAGGAGAGTGGGACGTGAAGCAGAACCACAGGGCCACAGGACTCAGATCCCTACAGCAACACCTTGGGTTTTCTCCGTGAGGCAACAGCACCTGGGAAAGTGTTTGGTTTAATACTTGTTATTTTTAAACAAAAATAACAGATCATGGGTATGCCAGGGGTTTATTCAGCTCATTACACTAAGATGTCTCTTTCCATAACCCAGGAGTAGGTCCCAGGTTGAAATCTGACTGGGCAATGGAATATGGATGGAGCCAATGCTACTTACTGAGGGGTATGAACTTGCTGTGGGGTTGTCTTAAGTATATTGTTTAACTATACCATTCAGAAGCCAACCGGAAGCTATTGACCATTAAAATTATGAGAATTTCAGCTTCTGTCCTCTTTTTCTATGCCTGTGCCTGCAGCTGCTGCTGTATGTGGGGCAGACAAGTGCTGCAGACACCCCTCTGCAACTTGTTGCAGCAGAGTGGCACTAGAGCTGACCTTCTGCAAAGAGAATGCACAATGTAATAGGACTGACTTCTGGCCTGCTAGTCTAGTCCAGTCATGGCCTGTTGGCTGTTGTTTGCCAGACATAGTAGGATAAAGTGGCCTTGGTCTCCCTTTGGTTCACCTAGGGACACGGCAAGCCCAGAAGCCCTTTTCCAAAGAGCACAGGAAACAAATCTCTGCTGTTCCTACATAGCCCTGAGTTCAACCCAGGGGCCCAAGTTGTGGGAGGTGCCTCTGCCTTGGGCGGTGAGTCTTACAGGTTTTTTTGGTTTTGAGACAGCCTTTCTTGCTGTCCTACAACTTGCTGTCTAGACCAGCTGGGCCTGGAACTCAGAGATCCTTTGTCTCTGCCTCCTGAGTGCTGGGATTAAAGGCATGTGCCACCACACCCAGCTTTGTGTCTTTTTTCCTAAGGTTTTCAGTAAGTGGAAAATGATCTGCACAAAGGCTGGGGCATGGTGCTTCTGTGGTCTTTAGTGATCACCAAGCTATCTTCTCCATAGGAAATTCTGATGCCCATCATCAGGAAGGGGTCCTAACCTTGATGTAAGGGGAGCAAAGGTTTTAGAGAACTTCCAGGGGTGATTGGAGTATTTGTAATAGAAGAGATCCAGAGTTTGGGTAAGATTTTAAAAAGCCCACACTGTGTAAGAAACTTTGGGGGCGGGGGAGGACACGGACGGGGGGACTTTGACTATATCCAAGTACTGTAGAAATACTAATGGCTCAGTTTGAGTGCTCAGTGATAACATGATGTTAGCTCTGCAACCAGCATTATGTGGCATGTGGTGGGCCGAGGGATGCTCAAGAGCCACAAGCAATCCGAGATGAACAGGTCTCTTTGCAGGGTGACAGCCCTCAGTGGCTAAGGCTGGTTCTGAGCCCAGTGGGCAAGCACAGCATGAGAGGGGTTTTTGTAACAAGCAACCTGGTTTGGCTATGTTCTTTCTGCACATCAGATTGCATGAGGAGTGGGGAGGGGGGGGTGACTATGGGCTTGGGAACCTCATTACAGCTGAGCAGATGCCCTTGCCCAAAATAGAAACCAGGTACAAACAGCTCCTTCCTATTTCCCAAGCTGCACTGAACAAAGTGACTCTTGTTGAGTGGACTAACCCAGATTCTGAAATGCCATCTTGGTAATTTGGCCCCTAGCCAGTGGGGTAGGAATGGGTGTGCCTGGGCTGGGCTCTGAGATGGGCAGCCTGTGAAGCTCACATTCTAGTGATAGCCACAATGCTTCCACAATAGCTTTCTCTGTTAAAATTAGGAAAGCCACATGGTTTGGGCCCTCCTGTTGGAAACCCACCTGTGACCCTTTCAGGGCATGAGATGAATTTAACAAACCAATCTAGTCTTAACTGCCTACCTACTTACCCACTTTCAAGATCAAAGAGCTATAAGGGGCAGTTAACAGGAAACATGAACCAACAGATCTGGGGAATCTCTTTCCACTTGTGTCTCACCCCCATTACACATCTGGTTCAATATCTGCCCTTGAGCCCATGGGGCATGAACTTACCCTGGTTACTTGCCCTGTAGAATGGGCTACAGCTGGGTGAAGAAGCACCAGTGGCCAGATACCACAACAAGGTTTAAAGAGCAAGATGGAGACTGAACTTTGACCACCTACCTAGATAGAAGAGATTTTAGGAGGAGCCTACAGAGAACAGCAAGTCAGACAGCTACAGCACTGCAACCTCAGGTGGTGGCAGATGCTCACATTAAGGTGCTGGACTGAAAATGTCAGGAATAAAGGTCACTCGAGAGCATGAGTTGAAGGCAGGCTAGGACTGCATCCGGGTGACAGTAGGTAGGAAGAGGGCACTCAGGTTGGCTGGAGTAGCTGTGCATAACAGAACCTTGCCAGTGCTTCTCTTGCCCTCAGACCTAGGGCTTAGGTCATTATCTGGCATGGGAAGCGAAAGACATGGCTAGAGTGTTCATGAATGTGTGGGTTACTTGAATCTTTGGTGAGGGCTCAGCGGCTCCAAGCTGCCTACCACAGTGCCTCCCAAACTAGTTTAATGTTCTGTCCTCTGGTGACTGAGTGTGCTGTTGCTATGGCTTACCACTTTATTTAATGGAGAGGAAAGAATGGTGGCTGGATGTGACCCTTCTCAAAGTGCCAGCCAACAAGTGTCAGAGAAGGTGTTCTCATTTCCATGTAGGGGAGTGTCCCTGCTGCTAGGAACATGCTGGGTGCTTTATAGCTTTCTGCCACCAGGAACTAGGCTGCATGCAGCCCCAGTACAGTTGCTGCTGGTGCTGATACCTCCCTGGCAGAAGGGTGGATGGAATCTGTGGAAGATGGGAGGCTTCCCATGATCTGTATCCACATTTCACCCACAGTTCTTGGGCCATTTGGGACGAGGTGTGAGCCAGGGTAAATAAGACACAGGTCTGATCACCCACTCACCTTCCTTCTTCTCCCAGGGAATTTGAAAGTCTCCAAAACTGACCCTAGGCTTATCTGCAGCCATTTTAATCACCTATCAGAGTTCTGTACAAGGCACAGGAGAGATAGCTCAGTGGTTAAAGGTACTCGCTGCTCTTGCAGAGGATCCAAATTCCATTCCGAGCACACACATGACAGCTTAAAACCCGCAGTAACTCCAGTCCTAGAAAATCTGATGTATTCTCTGGCCTTCACAGGCATTAGGCATTGTACATGGTGTATAAACATACCTGCAGAGCAAACACCTATAACATCTCAACAAGACAACCAAGTAAAACACAACTAGGAAAGGGGGAAACTATCCTTATTTGCAAATTTTGCTTCTACATGACTCTAAAGACTCCACCAGAAAAGTAGAACTGAGAAGCACCCTCAGAATGAGGTTATAGACCTCTACAAAGAAAACATTAAAACATTAGAGAAAGAAACTGGCTGGATGCTGGTGGTGCATACCTTTAATCCCAGCAAAAAAAACAAAAAATGAAATAGAAAAATTGAGGACACTGGAAGATTAAAAGACCTCCATTCTTGTGAAAGTGGCTATTTTAGGTTAGGGGTGTAGCTCAGTTTATAAGGGGCTGATCTTTACCATTTCATAAATTGGTATGGTGAGGGGAGGGTCAGGAGGATTAAAGGCCATCCTTGGCCACTGAGAATTTGAGCCCAGACTGAGATACAGTCTGGGAGGGAAAAAAGGAAGGAAACTGGCTACCATACCAAATACCTACAGATTCAATGCAATTGCACCGAAATTCAAAACCATTCTTAAAACTATTAAAAACTAGAAAAACCAACCATGAAAGCACAATAAAACCTAGATAACCAAAGTAATCTTAAGCAAAAAGAGTAAATGTGGGAGGTTACCACCATAAATGACAAGTTATATTAGAGTCATAGTAACAAAAACAGCATGGTATTGGCATTGAACACAGACACAGATTAATGGACACAGATAAAAGACAGCCAGGTGTTGGTGGCACAAGCCTTTAATCCCAGCACTCGGGAGGCAGAGGCAGGCAGATCTCTAGTTCGAGTCCAGCCTGGTCTACAGAGGGATTCCAGAACAGCCAGGGCTACACAGAGAAACCCTGCCTTGAAAAATAAATATTAACAAACCAGATCTGGGGTTGGTGCTATTAGGATGCCTTGTTCCCAAACCTCCAGAACTTCCAGGATCTGGCAAGTCCAGGACTCAGAGGACTCGGGGTTCTACTGAGAACTCTGACCCACAGTTCAGTCATTTATTTTACATCTTTAAGAGTCCCAGCACAATTGCATATTTTACTTAAGGGCTAACCCACCCCCAGGGAAAACAGAAGTGCTTCTGTCCACCTTAGAGTGCATGACAGCCTCTAGCATGTCCCAGCCATGGATCCCTTGCAGAGCTCTTCTGGCCCAGGAAGGTGTGGTACTGTCTGATCACTCTGATTATAGCTAGCAGCTCTGAGCAGTATCAGGAGTTCTTGGATTTCTGCTCTCTTTTGGCCCTAGAGGCCATAATTCTGAAGAAAATCCCAGGAGCCAGAATCCTGAGATAGACGGCCAGGGATGGCAGTAAGTCAGTTAAGAGCACGTCCTTTTTCTTTTTCCCCACGGCAGCAAGGACATCCTGGGCCACCTCTGCAGGGCTTCTGCCCTGGGCTGTGTTCTTGTCTAGCGCTACAGTAAACAAAAGGAAAAGAATATGAGGATAAATGAAGCACCATAAGGCCAGCTTCCCAGAGTTCCTCCTGGAAGGAGATGATTACACTGAGAAAATGAGGAACTGTTTTATGGTTCAAAGCAGGTAAATAGGAACAAAGAGATAATATAGACAGGATGACAGACTGGGTGTACCAGTTAGTGTGGAACCAGCTAACTAGTGAGTATGCCTGCTTGGTGGTCTGTGACAGATATCAAAAGCCAGCATAGGTAGGTCTCAGTGAATTCTACCCCACATCTAAGGATTGCTCTTCCTGAGTTCAATTCCCAACAACCACATGGTGGCTCACAACCATCTGTAATAGGATCTGATTCCCTCTTCTGGCATGCATGAAGACAGCACTCAATCATACACATATAATAAATAAATAAATCTTAAAAAGAGAGAGGTTATCAGGTGTAGTGGCAAGTCATGAACCATTTCACTGGCCTGAGAATCTTGGTATATCATCTACTCTGTCTGTCTGGTTCACAAGGCTGTCAGCAGGAGATGGTAGAGACCATCTTGACCCCCCATCAGCAGGAGATGGTAAAGACCATCTTGACCTCCCGTGCGCTGAATTGGGAGTAAACAGCTGTCCCAGTTCCCAGTGGCACACAAAGGTTGGATGACAAACAGCTGGAACAGTTAGGAGGGTGTAGGGTAACAGCATCTGATGTTCCTTCTTTGCTGGTAACTCATCCATCTTGCTAACAGAGCAGAACCAGTCGGCAGACA